GGAGATATTTAAGAGCAGTTTAGACAGACATCTGTCAGGGATGAGCTAGAAGATGGTGCTTAGTCCTTCTGGGAGGGCAGGGGACTGGACTTGATGACCTCTTGAGGTCCCTTCCAGTTTTAATATTCTGTGATTCCTACTTGATTTGCCTCACTCTATTAGAATCAAGTGAGGAGATTTCATGAAACTCTCGTGGCTGTCCCAAGAATTCCTAGTTTATAGGTCATTCAATCAGTTGATCCAGAATTCTGTTTCCCTCACTGCTTTGGTGGAATCAGTACTGACTGTGAATGCTGAAAACATTTTTTGCAGCATCACTGCTACAGCCATCTGTTAGTCATCATACTTGTTTTGCCTTCTCTCTCATCCTCTAGGGACAGGTAGAATCTCACTGAAAATCACATGAGCCTCCATTTCTTTAATTGTCTTCCCCCGCCTGTAATAGTCTCCGTTGATTCATTCTGGCAAGGATCAGCTTGATAAATTTTTTCCCATGTGAAGGGCAATAAAAGGATTCTTCCTGCTCCTTATTCTCCTTATGCTCAAGTCCACATCCTATCTCTTCGTTCCCAGCAGACTACACACCCTTCTGTTCTCTGGATTAGCTCTGGTGACAAGCTTGTCTGTTCTTTTTAGCAAGGAGTCCTCACTCAGTCGTGCTCTGCTTGGTGTTGGTGTGATTCTTTAACCTTCCTCTTTCTGTTCTTTCTCGCAGCAAGTTGTCTTATCTTCTGTTATCACTTGAAATTTTAAGCAAGTCATTCTTTGTCCTCTTGGGGCTCTGAACACTGGCTATCTCCATTGACTCCCTCTTGTAGGATTAGCCACTCTTTTCTTCCTTGCTCTCCCACCTTTTGATAGTACTTCCAGTGCCCCTTTTTCATTTTCCAGCTCAGCAAACCTGTTCATGAGGTCTGTTTCTTGCTTACTAGTCAGTCTTTTCTTTCTTCCTGGTTCTCGTAGTCCCATGCTTCCACTTTCCTTGTCCAGCAGTCTCCCCTCACAGTTAGCCAGTCTAGCTTACTTCTGCAAGTCTTTGAGTTTTCCCTTCAGCTTCCTTTTGCTTTCCCTACATTCAACCATAGTTTTTACCTGAATCACTGAATCGCAAATCTTCTCTTCCATCAGATCTATTAGGTAGCATTTCAAACACATTTTTCATGTACTCTCTCCAGGATAATGTACACCCTGCTGCTACAGTCATCTTTATTATCTCTTTCATTCCTTGAGTCATTACTGTTATTACCTCTATAACTGTCATAGCCTTCCTGCCTAAGCGCTTGCCAAGAGGAAAAAAAGCATGTGAGCGTGCACACACATTGCTTTCCTAAAACTCGTTTTCAGTTGTGTTGGCTGGCTCCAATGCTGCTATTCAGCTGCCTTTAATAGATCCTGAAGTTGGGGAAACTCCACCCCGCTAATCAGGGCTCTTCTGTCTAAATGGCTCTCCTTCTCTGATAGTATACTGCCTCCTATCTGAAAACGGAAAATAGGAAACAACAAACTAGCAAGTAAGCAACAAAACTCTTAAGAAGTTTTCTTCACTTCTCTTTGCTTCCCATCTCCTCCAACAAATCTCTAATCATGTCCTCTGTTTTCAGATCTGTTTATTGGCTCCTCTGCTGCTGTTCCAAATGTGACAGCTATTCTACATTTCCTGATTCCGATTTTAATTTCAACTTTATCAAAGTTTTTGCATTTAATTTCTTAGGTGTTTCATTTTTATATGGAAAATCTTTTTAGGGAAAACTTAAGACTTTGATCTTATGTTTAGTAAAATCCTATGCCTCAGTTGGGGGATGTCTGATTTGAACGAGAAGGCATTGGATTACTCCAGGGGCAATTTTGTGGGACTGAGCACCTACAGAAAATGCCATCACTGCAGAATTCCTATGCGTCCCTACAGAAAATGGCAAGGAAGCAAAGGGCAACTGTGTAGGGATGACCCGTGGTTGTAGCTTGGGGGGAGATTGCCCCCCAACAGAGGCAAGGCATGAGGTGTTGCATGCTGCAGCTCTCCCCACCCACCAGGCTGCATCTTGATTCAGCTGAATGCAGCTGAACACTACCCCCTTGGTTCTAATGCTAGTCTCTCATCTTCTGTGTGCAGGGAGCCTTCCTGTTCTCTATGTAACAATGAATGTCCGTGATGGTACTGGGTAAGATGGGGAAATGAGGAAAGGGAGTGAGGGGGTGGGAGAAGAGACAATGGGAAAGTAAGGGGACTGGAATAGGGCTGGAGGAGGGGAATATGTTAGTGAGGCATAGGCTCTTGATTAGGTTTGAGGGTGTGCAGCATGCCCTGGCTTGAGGTGGTTTCCATTATGTATAGGGCTTGCAGTTTGGTTCAGTGGCTCTCAGCACCCCACTATACAAATTATTTGCACATCCCTGAAGTGAAAGGAGGAGGATGTGTTGAGGAAGAAAAAGGGATAGGGGAATTGTGGAGGGAAGTGGGCAACTGGGATGCAGCATCCCGTTTGCAGCAGCAGCTCCCTTGTTAAGAAGGCCCATTGAACCTTTACCCTGATAAGCCCTACAATTGGACCCTCTCCAACAAGGCCTCCACAGACAGACTCCTGTCCCCCCCAGCAGCACCTGAAGTCCCATCCTGTCAATTCCCAGACTTCCACTCAGTCCCCAGCACCCAAACTCTTGCCACTCAAATCCCCATATCAGGCTCCCTCAGTGAGCCCAGGCCATGTTCTCATGCATCCCCTACAGAGTCCTATTGTCCCTGCACTCAAGATCTCCCCCCAACAAGCCTCTGTGCATCCAGTTCTCCTAATGAGCCACCCACACCCAGATTGCCCCACACAGAAACCTCTTACCCCACACTTGGATCTCCACACATTAAGCTACTCCACACTTGGATCCTGCTGGACTGAGCCTTCCCATCCATACCTGGTGCAGTAGCAGACCTGGCCCTTGCTCTGTGTCAAGGTCAGGTGCAGCCTTGCTGTTGAGGTCCCTGTACCAGAGGTCTGCGGGCTTCAAGGTTATCTCTCACCTCAATGCAGCAAGTGGCCTATGCTCCCTACTACCATGATGGATCCTCATTTATTTATTGACAAATAAAATTTGCAGAATTTTACAATATGTAAATATTATTAATATAACATTAATTGGCACAGAATTCCCTCAGGAGTAATTGGGTGCTGAGGCAAGAGACGGAAGGTTTTGTTTTCCGCCATCTCTGTGTCACTCAATGGGTAGACTGTTTAGGACAGAGGAAGAGAATTGACTGTCTTTCATGGGCTCCTTCTTCTCTACTGTATATAAAATCTTTAGAACATGCAACAGCCATTCCTCTGCTGCAGCTGTGCTGGCCTCCCTGCCTTATCAGGGAATAAATTTGAACTCTGTTACCAGAATACTTCATGTCTGGCTGTTAGACAGTTTTTGGGGAGCTGAAAGAAATTTTACCCTAATGGCAAGGTGTCATTTTTTTATTGTCTTTACAGCACCCTATTCATCCCATTTTAGGCTAAAAAGGTGCAAAAAAGGGAGTTTAAAAGCTATATGTGCAGTTTGTAATTGTATTGCAACTTGTGACTGGTGTCTGGTACAGATGAGGCTCAAAGGAGCCAGCTTCCTGAAACCAGGAAGGTGGCATATAGAGCTAGTAGTCAGTAGAAGAAAGGTAGACCTTCAATCTTTGCAGACTGAAGTACTCTTCCTGTGTACTCACATTCCCCTTCAGAAGGGAAGGGTACAAATTCAGAAATGGATTGAATCCTAGGGGTTTGGCTATAGGGGGCCAAACCTGATTATTGGTTATTTAGCAGGAGGCACCATCAAATGGTTCCCACCCCAAAGAACTAATTATGTTTCTGTGAATTTAGTTTGTAGTCTTATCTTAAGGTCTCATGGTACTGTAGGGATGGTGCCCAATTCTTCCTCTGTAAGAATTTGGAAAAGTTCAATAGCTAAAAAGGTATCTAAATTTAGGACCAGTAATTTCACTTCATCTGTCAATGGTTTGGAGCCTGCAACAGCTTTATGGCTGTAATGGATTCTCCAGCCACAGACACCTAGTGAATCTCAAAATTAACATAATCCTCCTCCAAGAAAGATCAACTCCACCGTTGTCTGTCCTCAGTGCCTGACTATCTGTATGCATCAGGAGAGATAGTAATTCTCTGATGTCTCATCCGCGGGTTGGGTGGAGTGCCTCCCTGGGTATCAGTCTAACACTGTGGGTACAGTATATGCCCTGAGATGTGTTTTCGGTCAGAATATTCAGATGAGGCCCAATTCAATGAACTATCTTGACTTCCATGGTAACTGGATCTTAGAATGAGAAAAACATACAGAACCACAAAATGCACCTTGGAGGATATAAAGGCAGCTTTTCCATAGATACGCAAAAGAGGAATCCCTTTGTCTCCTGCCCTTCCTAGCAGGAGTTTACTGTTCCTGAAGCTGGGAAGAAGAGAGCACAAATCCATCCTGAGGTGCTTGGAGGCATTTATGTGACTTTTTTCTTCAGACACGTGGCCTAAGCAGCTCTACTTCATCAATCTACAGAGCAGACCTGGGTCCCCTTGCACATTAGGATTGATCATCCTAGTGTGCAGGGTGGTGAGTCATATGTCTGGATAGGTTTTATATAAAGTGCACTCCTCACTGTCTCGTACTAGTGGTCTAATCCCTTGTGTTTTCCATTGCTCTAGCTTCCTTCATTAGTTGTAAAATATAACTTAAACAAAATTGGAGCAAAAATGGTGCTAAATTTTTCACCTAATTTCACAAAAAGTGAGGTTGTCCTGCACAAAGCGAT